AGTATATATATATATATATATATATATATATACAGACATTGGCAAGAATACATTATATATAATACATTATTCAAAGGATTATACAACTTCAATAATAGTTACAGTATAGAATACAACCAATACAAATAACCTTTTGATCATTAAATATAACAGTATAAGCTATATATGTTTCTAAATATAAATCTAATCTAAACAAACGTCGATATCAAAACAAGTGAAGAGATTAGTAGATCTTTTTCTTGCTCAGCTATCAGGTTACTTTTAGTAAACGAAACTTCACCAAATGAATCAGATCCCTCACGCCCATCATTGTTCCTCACCGAGAAATCATCAGTAGAACAATTATCCACAAAATCCTCGTTGGATCCAAAATTGTCTGAGATAAATCTATAACACCGTCCTCTGAATTCATGTCTATCATTTGTTTTTAGCTTATTTTCTTAGCCTGAACTCGAGTCACAGCACACGAGGGAAACACATCGGAATTCTCCTCTATGACATCATCATCCTTAGACGAAACAGTGATCGGTTAGTTAACAATTTTAGGTTCGGCAACAGCTTTTTCTCCCAACCAAATCGTTTCCGAACAACAATGATACACCCTTAATTGTCAGAGTAGGTCTTACTCCAACTACAACTGTTCCCGAAATTAGGTCCGATGCTAATTAAATGTTATGAAGAGGAACATCAACAAACCCACCCTAAATAGCCTGAGCAATAACAGACTCACTAGTGACAGAACTCGAATCTAAAAGCAATATACCTTCTAACAGCAATGACTGAGTCGCCACACTATCACGTAGAATACTTATGGGTATGGGATTGCCAGTGTCATTTGTCAAAGACACAGAACCAACACACACAAAAGGTCTATATTATTCTCTGATCACATCAGCCTCTATATCAGTGGCCATATCAACAACATCGGGTGTTCTGGTGAAACTACGTCCATATGTGAACACAAACGCGCCGAGTGTTGCCTCCTTTTCTTTTTTCTTTTTCAAACGCCAACAATCGAACATAACATGACCAGGTTTTTTTACAAAAATGGCAGACAGGCCTTGATTGTTTTAAAAAAGTTTTATCTTGACTGTCCCAAGATTTCGAACTAGAGGAGCTGGATTTTTTAGAGGAATGCTCATCTTTAGTGGATTGAACAAATACAGGTTGTTGTTGAGATGGTAGGAATTTATTTTTATGAAAACTGGTTTTATGTGTTAAAGTGTAATGATCTGAAAGAGCGGCTGCTTCCTGTAGTGTTTCAACTTTCTTTTTATACAAGTAAGTTTTGAGGTCGTCACTTGCACAACGTATAAATTTCTCAATTAGATATAATTTTGTCTTAGTTTGTCGAAACTGTTGCCAATATGCAGAGAATTGCACCATCGATCAAATAAACCTCTTTTTCGTGGGCAAATTCCATATAAGTTTGATTATCTTGTTTGCGATAACCTCGAAACTTTTGGCGATAAGCCTCTGGTACTAACTCATATTCTTTGAGAATAGCTGCTTTAACCTTATCATAATTCGTAAAATCTTCCAAAGAGAGAGCGGCATAAGCTTCTTGTGCTTTACCAGTTAAAACACTTTGTAATAATAATGACCATTTTTCTGTGGGCCATTCCATGGATCGGGCAACCTTCTCAAAATATTGGAAATATTTATCAATTCATTTTCATTAAACGGTGGTACTTTAACATATCGATTAAGTTCAAAGTTGTCATTTTGCTTTGGTTTGTTTGTTTGTAATTATGCACAAAGCTACACATTGGGCTATCTTTGCTCTGCCCACCATGGGTATCGAAACCCGGTTTCTAGCATTGTAACTCCGCAGACATACCGCTGTGCCACTGGGGGGGGGGGGCATTTTGCTTTGGTCGATCGGTGTTGAGTCTAATTTCCATTTCTTTCAGTCTAAGTTCTTTTTCGGCTTCAATGCGAGCTTTTTCGGCCTCGAAACGTTTATTTCCTCTTTCAGCTTCAATACGAGCTTGTTCTTTCTCAGCTTCCATTCGAGCTTGTTCTTTCTCGGCTTCGATTCGAACTCATTCTTTCTCGGCTTCAATTCGAACTCGTTCTTTCTCGGCCTCAATTCGAGCTCGTTCTTTCTCGGCCTCAATTCGAGCTCGTTCTTTCTCGGCTTCGATACGAGCTTGTTCTTTCTCGGCTTCGATACGAGCTTGTTTGGCCCCGAGGCATTTATTTTCTCTTTCAGCTTTGATACGAGCTTCTTCAACCTCGATTTGTTTGTGTTTTAGCTGGATCTCTAATTTATCTTTGTCACTCAACCCCAATTGGCTAGTAGGCACACAAGAGTATTCCTCTAATTCTTCCTCAGGCAACAAATCATCATTGACTAGTATTTCGATAATACGCTTTTTTTAGTTAATTTTTTGTCACTGAACTTTCAACTTCTAGTTCTAAAACTTTGGCAATTTCGAGAAATTAATTTTTGTTATATTTTTTCTAGTTGTTCTAGGGAAGATAATACAAGAAAATCTTGATAATCAGACATGATCAAATCTTGTTGGCACTGATAAATATAAATTCAATTGTGATTTAAATTTTAATTTAGATCGAATTTTGTCTAATTCAGATCTCGGACACGAGCCCCCAATTTATTATGTTACGTATTAGTATTTCAAATAGTCTAAAATTGCGTTAACTGATAATTTAATTTTACTTTGGATTTAGTATTTAAATAAATGCCGATATATAGTCAGTTTGTAATATTTGCCAACAAGATTGATACACACTTTAATATACACACAACAATACAATTTACAGTAACAATTATTACAAATAGTTATTACAAACAAAGATTTATAAACAAAAGTTTCACAAATTCTTATTACTAACACAGATTTATAAACAAAAGTTTCACAAAT